GAATAAAATTTGCCCTGCATGCACCCCCCAGTTACACCCCAGCTGACAGTTGGGCAGGGCACAAACCAGAGGGTCTTCCAGCAGGCTTTGCTAAATGGCAAAAAAACCCAGCTACAAAAGGGCCATTTTTGCTCCCTGCTTTAAGTCCCAAGCATCTACATTCCCCTCTTCGTTTTCATGTATGTATCAAAAATTAACTAACACCAACTGGGCAGCTTTTACCTGTCTGCTCGATGAGCCACAGTGGCAACTCTCACCCAGCAATAATAGCAAGCAATAGAGAATTCAAGCAAGGGCCTTTACGCATGCCCTGGTATCAAGTGGCACCTCTTAAAATGTGACAACTTAGATTTAATTTAGACCTTTCCCTTCTCAGGCAGAGGCTGCCCACAGTAACCTACAGCTGGCCGGACAGCCGCAGGGTGGGAAGAGACACGTGTGGGAGAGACCTGCTGGTCAGGGGCCAAGGGGCTGTGCTCAGGGAGCGGGACCAGACCGTCCGAGGGCTCCTCGCTCCTCCTTGCTTGCCCCAGCTTGGACAGGGCTGGTGGGGAGAAAAAGAAAAGCATCGCATCCACCTTCAGCCAAAACTCTGTGCAGAAACAGGTGAAGCATCTCCTCGGTACCCGCTGCCTTTCCTGCCTGCTGCGAGCTGCTATCCAGATGATGAGCAAGGATGACAAAGAGGCGACTGGGCGGGCAGGCTGCCCAACGCCTGAGCAGAGCTCCGGAGGTGGCATCTGGATCACAGCCGTCCCTGCTTTCCCACTGCCAACCTCATTTTCCTTGAGCAAGGTTAAGTGGTTTCAGCGTTTCCATCTCCCTCTGCTCTGATCGCCTTCACTGGCACCTTTCTGCTGTTTTTCCACCACACCAGGGAGGGTTTCCAGCTCTGTCACCCGAGAGGCACCCGCAGCGCCCCGAAGAACCCACCCCGCCGCTCCCACCGCTGCCACACCAGCAAGGCCACAGCAGCAAGGGGCCACCTGCAGCTGTGGGGCCAGCGGGGCCAGCAGCCCCCTTGCCCACTGCCATCACCCTCTCTGGGGACCCACAGCCACGCAGCCCCACCACCAGCCCAGCCGGGGACGGGAGCCTGGGGGCTCTGCTCAGACAGCAGCTCCTTCTCTGGTTACGTTGCACCTAAAGCAGCCTTAGAAGATTTCATCTCTGCACGCACAAGTATCTAAATACATATCTAAACAAATATATTTTTGGATATATGACATATACCTCTTGTAGCCTGAATCAGGTCTGCAGGGTGCTAGACCCACACATGGGTTTTGCTGCCATTTTCTTTACGTGTTTTAGATGACAGAGGATAGAGAGCAAGCGTGAGTGTCAGACCTAAATCCACACGGCCAGAAGGAATCTCACAGCATGACATTACTTAGCAGCAAAGGTCGTTGTAAAACCTCCAGCACCACTGGCTGCACGATGGAGGGAGCCTGACACATGCCTCGCTGCCTGGCAGGCACAGGGCAGGCCGTGCGGGTAGCAGGGGCTCTGCCACGTTACCCACACCCTGAGCATTGGCACTGTGCAGAGGGACCTGGACACGTGCATGCAAGCTTCTTACCTTGCCTGGATGGCCAAACTCAACACTAAAGGAAGGGCAGAAAGTAGATCACCTTCTACCACCCTTACCTCATTTCCCCATGCCTTCCCCAGTTCTCCTCGCCCTGTTACAGCAGGCACCCACTGCAGAGGAGCAGCAGCAGAGACAATGAGTGAAACTACCCAGAAAAAAACAGAGACATGAAGACGAGTGGTGCAAAGGCATCGCTTCCCTCTCGTGCAACTCTACACCCTTGAGTGACCCGCTCTGGACAAGCACGCTGGGACAAATGCCATGTGGGCACACTGTGCATGCACACATGCACGCTCACGCACAGACCTTACCACTGCTCCCCTGCACGGATCCTGACTGTGCCCCTTTGGCACAGGCCCAAAGCATCCAGAGATGGAGGCAGAGGGATGCTTTTATCCCAGTCAAGCCCCGTCCCAGGAGCAGAGCGATGGAGCCCTGTCCTTGACCGCTTCTGCCTCACTCCCTGCAAGCGACGCAGCGAGCAGGCAGCAGCTCCTGCCCACGCCTCTGCTGGAAGACCCTGCTTGCTCCAGGCACAGCGAAGACCCCGGGGCCTTGCGTCCTGCAGCCCGACACCAGTGCCACCCTGCCACCCTCCCCTCGGGTTTGCTGTACCACCAGAAAAAGGGCCATCGGTGCCGCAGCTGCTGCCACGGGGGCTGTGCAGGAGGGAGCTGCGAACATCTGCTGCCACGGTTCAGGCAGAAGGTACGGCCGTCACCCAGGCCCAGGAACAAACCCCGATGACTGCTTTGGGGTCAGGGTGTTCACACAGGACCCCAGCAGCCTCTCCTGACCTTCAGGTTCATAAAGACGTGTTACGGATTAACAGTCTGCAGGACGAGAGTATTCGTGGATGCATTAGTCTCCCTTGGGTTGGCATCTCTACTGCCTCTCCTTTTCCCCTCCACTAACCAATTTTTAAGGTTCAATAGCCACCAATACACTGCAATTAGCAGTAGCCCCTGCGGAGAAGAAAGCCTTCAGTGAGGAAAGAGATAGTCATATGCAAAGTGCCTGGGGCGGGGGTTAAAAAAAAACCCACGTAATATCTTGACTAATTGTCTGGTAGGAAGTGGAAATAAAACTGGGCTTATCAAACTGTGCACAAGCCCAAGTCTGAAAACAGCCTTTTTCGGGGCTGCTCCTGCAGCACCCCCAGCAGCCACATTGGCAGCACACAGGAGCAGGATCCAGGCTGCGAGCTGGAAGACACCTACCAAGGCAGCTCAGCCTGCGGGAAACAGCCAAAGGTTTCATTACCAGCTCGTTACAATTAACACTCTGCCAGGCATCCTCTCTGGAGGTGGAGGAGCACGCTGTCAAGTAGGCTTCAGCACGCCGGAGGCACCATGCTGCGCAACTGGGGCTGGGGGGGCTGCAAGCGCACGTACCCCGAGAAATCCGACATCAGGGGCTCAGGGTCAAAACGGGGTTTTGCACAGGCAGGTCCCTCGATCAGCCACAAGCTGGGCACTGGGGTAAAGCCACCGCTTTGCTAGAGCCAGAGCAGGGACCAGGTTCAAAGGCAGTTCTGGGGACGTGGGGGATTGTCAGGTACCATCCCACCCCGTCCCCCTGCCTGGGGTCCCCGGCAGCTCTGCGGTGGAGCTGCCCAACGGTTCTTTGGGACCAAAGCCCAGCCAGATTTCTTAGATCCAACCCAGAAATGCCCCAAACCCAGCACACTCATACAGGAGGAGAAACCAGACAAAAAGGGAAGCGATCAAGCCTGCCCTCTGGTTTGGCTGGAAAAGAAACACAGTTTTGGTGAAGGATCCCAGACCACCGTGACCCACGCTCAGCCCTTCCCCTCCACATACCCGCACAGCCTCTCCTTGCAGCATCTGCCCGGGGAGCACAGGCAGCCCCTGCCCAATGCTACACCCAAAAGGGGCTGATGCCCCAGCTCTGCCCCATTCAGAGCCATCTCGGCCCTTCCCTGCGAGCCTCACCCCCATCCCCAAAAGCTCCCATTTATCACAATCACGGCACACAGCCGCGTTTCGGGCAGGGCGACTGACAACATGTGTTTAGCCTCCACCTTCAGCTGCCTGTTACACTGCCTGCTCCCACTGGTTCTATTTTTAAGGGTGAGAGTTGTGGTGCACTGTCGTTTCCCCAATTCGATCTCTTTTCTCCTAGCAGTTCCCCAAATTAGCTAGTTTCCACGGTAAAACACAAAACCTGCCAGACAGACCTGAAAGGCACTGGCAGAACCGCGCTGAGGAGCCTAAGCCAGCTCCGCTCCGCTGCTCCAGCTCTCCCACTCGCCCCCGAAAGCCGGGGGATTCACCAGGAAATTAAGTCTTTGTGAAAATAAGGATAGAGACTTAGTCGGCATTTGGGTGGTTTTTTTTGTTTTTAAAGACCAGCAATATTGTTTTCCAAAAGTCACACCTAAACTCATATTTCCCAGTAATTTTGTTGTCCTTGATAATGCTGCCCGGTCAGTTCTGTGTTTTCTGAGGGAGTCGGAGCAAACACAGCAACACTGACCATGCAAATCACAAGCAAGCATGAAATGTGCCTGCAGGCTTGTTTTTTTTCTTCCTTGAGAAGACCAAACATATATATCAGTTTAATTAAACCTGCAAGGTGATACGAAATAGACTTGAAAAAAAACTGCCTGCTTTTAGTGAGAAGCCCCCGGGGTGAGGAGCAGGGATGCTGCAGGCGAGCGGCTGAGGGTCCCGACCCCAGGTAACGCTGAACAACCGCGGGGCAACACAGGACTGACACTGAAATAATGACAGAGGGCAGTGATGCCTTCGAAAAAAGTAATGAGCTGAGGAGGAACAAGGACAAGCACATTCCCCGGGGCTGACTCTAGTCTAGCAACAGGGGAGGCACCTGTTAAACGGCAGCTAATTCTTTCAGGTACTTCACTTGTGACAAAAGGAATTGATCAAGACATTGAACCAAGCCCTGACAGAAGAGACAGTCTTCTTCAGCTCAGGGCACGCTGGCCAAAGTCTTAAAGCAGCTTTTTAGTACTTAGTGCTTCATGCATGTTAATTAACCCCAAACCTAAAACCTCTGTTCAGGTGGCAGACCCTGGAAACATCATTTTACCCATGGGGAAACTGAGGCTGCGACTCACGGGACAAAAGGGGGCAAGGCTGCAGACTCAGCCCCAAGCTGAAACGTCTCTGCATTCCCATACGCTCTCCCTGCTCTGCTGAGAAAGTTATTGGATGATTTGAAAGTGTTTTAAGTGTCTCAAAAATATACGAGAGCCCACACAACTACGAATAACAATGAATTAGAGATGCCCGTGAAATAACGGCACAGAAGTGTCGTCGGCCAAGAAAGCTGGAGGAACATCTTCTCCAAATCGCTGTGAAACGGAGTGATCCACAGAACACCGCGCTGTGCCTTCACTCGAGGCGCTGGAGCAGGTACTTACATCCGAGGCAGGGCCTTTATCAGCACCAGGGCAGGAGAAGGTAACGAATTCATGGCACCGCTTGTGCACGACGAAGCAGCAAACTGCAAAGAGAAGACAGCGACAGTGTCAGGGGTACGTTAAGGCATTTGCACCACGTGAACCCAGAGCTTAAAAAATAGAAAGCTGTTAGGTCTGATTTATGAGGAAAGACATCCAGGACTCTAAGCAGGTTTCTTTAAGTAAACCTGTAGCAGATTTTTAAACCCTATCGAATATCGTCAACTGGACCAGGCATTTCAGTAAAACTAAGCAGAAGCAAAGTGTTGAACGAACGTCAAAGGAGGGCTGGGAACCCTTATGTTCGCTTTGAGCTCATTGTCACTCGCTGCACATACTCTGAGGTCACCGCCGTGTATAAAAAGAGGGAGAATCTGGCATTTGCGGGTATCTGAGCTGAAAAGTGCATGTGCCCAAAAATGGAAGATGGTACCGATGGGAACAGGTGGGCAATTTTCCTCCCACAGATCTGCTTTTCTTCAGCAACTCCACAGCCTCCATTTGCCAGACCAGAAGACACGTACATCTTCCTCCCCTCACACACACATGTCAATGACAAAGTCACCCTTCTGGGAACGGCGCAGGAAAATTAATCCCAACGTGCTATTACCCAGACTTTCAAGCATGAGTATCCAGAGCTAAATCCACATCCCTTGAACCACCAAACCCTTATAGCACATGCTAATCTGAAGCTGCCGGCAGTATTTTCGCAGTCTGTGCAATCAGAGCACTGTACTTAAAGGTTAATTTTTTCCCTAAACTCCAAATAAGCACCCCACTTTCAGCGATAGACCTTAAAAAGGCCACTCGGCACTGCAGATAACTTCAACTGATGGCCCAGGTCCTTCTCTGAGGGTCTCAGCCCACCTCACCCTACATCTGGAGGTGGCACTACTGCTTTGGGAAGCCGTGTGGCCCCAGGTCCGGGGAGCAGAGGCACCACCTTGCACCCCACATCGCTTCCTCCTGGGTGCCAGCCCCCCAAGTCCAACTGTGCTCTGCACCGCATCCGCACCGTGCCCCGTCCCAAGGGATGGGTCCTCAGCTCCGAGGCAACACCGCGCACAAAGGGAGCCCATGCAGGAACGGAGCAAAAGGAACAAGTGCTGATTTTGTGAACAAGGCAAAGCCGTGCAAAGGCTGCCTTTGTCTGGGGGAAGCCTGGGCACCAAACTCAGCTCTGTCTCAGGGGTCTCTTATTTGCCACATCCTTTTCCCGAGAGCCGTAGTTACACTAAATGAAAGAGCAACTGGAAGATGAGATGCAATCTACCGGGGTTCAGAGAAACTGAGCACATAAAACAAATTCAGCAGTGCAAAAATGAAGCAGGTTTCAGTTGCATCAATATCAGACTTTTCCTAAGGAACAAGGAAAAGGCAAGTGACGTTTGCCATTAAACTCACAATCCCCTTATTGTGCCCTACCACATCCAGCTTTAAACTTGTTTTCCTTTTCACATTTTTCATTATGAAAAAAACAAACCCAGAAGGTTTGAGAGGCGCAACAGTTGCCAAGAACTCTCTCCTCGTAGGACCTCTCACTTGCTTTTCTGAGTCTAACAAATAAACATTTTCTTGAAAACATTGTTCACCATTTCTGTCATTTGTATATAGAGGCAGAAGCATCTGGGAAGCAGGAAGGAAGAAATTGGAACTCTATTAGCAAAGATTTGTCCTGAAGTGTGTGTATAAACTCAATAAGGCTCTGCAACACGCTGGAGCACAGGCGCTGTCGGGAGGTTGCACACTGATGCCAACATCTAGGCTGCGGTGAGGCGTTCCCAGCGGAGCCAGAATAATTTCAGTTCAACAGAAGAAACAAGATTGTTACTTGGCTGAACTTCCTAACGCCATTCCTCCATGCCATATAAAAACGCTGTTCAATGCAAACCTGACTCTGAAGAGTAGGTAAAGGAAGTAAAGCAGGTCCTTTGGTGCTTCCCCAGCTTCTAAGAAGCTTTTGCACTTTGGGGACAGCAATATTTGTTCCTGCTTGGGGAAGATAACCTTCCTGCCTTTGGGGTGACAGAAGCTGGAGAAGGGAAGAAGCAGGAGTTGTCTGTACCGGTCTTCCCACCAGTCATGGCTCACCCCCAGGTGACACCCGGCCACAGGAGACCACCCGGTTCTGCTTTGTACGGCGTGAACCAGGTGCTGGCAGCAGCTGCCCTCCCACCCCTCGCCTGCCACCGAGCATCCCGCCGGCTCTGCCCATGCTGGAGCCTTCCTCCAGCTGGATGCGTCCAGGGAGGCCACCACACGCGGGCCAGGCTCTGCTCCGCAGGGCTTTGGAGAACGAAGCCATCACCAGTCTCTTCCAAAAGGCACAACAGCCAACCAACCTGCCTCTTCCACCACGGCAACCTGCCTGGCATTACTACAGATTTCCTTGCCCCACTCTTCCCATCTCCTCACCGCTCCTTCCTTCTCTCAACAGAGCCATGTAACACGGTACGCTGCCTGTTTGCCGAGCTAATCCCCACGGCAGCCCCATGGAAAGCCCTTCTGAACACAGGGCAGCACTGCCAGCACTCGCACGCCGCCAGCCCTGCCAGCAGCGCTGCTCCAGCTGAGCACACCCCACCTAAGCAGCGCTGGGTGCAACGACAAATTTCCCGCAATTCGGGAGCAGGCAGAGGAAAGCAGCCTCCCCAAGCGCTGCTACCAGCTCTGCACAGCGCTAAAGTTATGGTGGGGGTTAAAAAAAGGTTTGTTTCTGTCCCTTGTAATAGCGGCTTCACCAGCTTAGCTACTCCTGTGCGTGCTCACTGCTTTACTTTCCACATGCACCTCCCCTGAACAGGGCAAGGGCAGGCTGTCAGTTTGGCTTTACTTTATGGAAAGTCAGAAATCTGACCTTTCTATTTTCGCTCTCACAGAAAGCCGCGGTGCTTTGCTTTCAAAAGCAACGCTCCTGGATCCCCTCTGCCCCGGGCAGACAGGACCAGAGCCCTGCTCTGCCAGCGCTTTAACAGGGATGCATCGCTCCCCGCACTCTGCGTTGCATAGCCAGGAGACGCAGCACATCAGCAGAGCTGTGGGTTTCAAATGCATTTGATTTAAAACTAAAAGAAATTAAAAAAATCAAAGTCAAGTTCTGCTGTGCATGAGAAGAATCTGCAGTGACTTTCTATACTCTGCTCATTACACATTTAATTTGACAGGCAGAACTTAGGTGATAAGGAGAAACAAAGAGGGAATTTGAAGAAGAAAGGGAAAGGAGAACACAGAGCCAAGTGATTGATCCCCACAGACGTGCGAGAGGATCTCTGGAGCAAGCGAAGCGCACGGGTGTGCGCACACCAACCCCGGGCGAGCTGCTTGCTCTTGCCTCTCCAAAGACACCATGAAAGCAGAACACATTTATCTTACATTTTCACTTGCATAAGCAGAAGAGGTGAAATGCCCATTTCTAGTGGCAGGAGAGACTAGAAAGCCAGTGCCGGAGAAGCTCAAAACCATCCCAGATTTTTATTGCAGCCTCTCCCCCATATTCTTTTAAGGTTTCACTGAAGATTTTAATTATTAAAGATGACATTAAATATATCCACACAGGTAACACTTCCTGCCCTTTGAGCAGGGACCTAAAGAATACACTAGAAATGCAGTATTTTCTCTTCAATTGGCAAAATAATTCCTGTGTGTTCGAAACATTCATACTGCAGTTCAATCAAGCCAATGATATCCAAGTCACTGCAAGTCACCTTTGTGGCAACCGAATATTTAGCAAGAATAGCAGGTTCTCCAGCAGTCAATGTTAATATAGATTGTAAGGACAATCCGTTAGAATACGGTGAAGGGTAACGCCTCCCTGTGCATCCATAGCAAACAAGAGGCTCTCTGCCAACTGCAGCAGCGTGGGCTTTGCATCCAACGTTTCGAAGGACGCACTGCAAGCCTTGGAAAGATCCATTCAAACATTTCATACATGCTTAGGTGAATAGTCAATCCATGCAAAAAAACAGCTAATAGAAGTAATCGGGTACAGGAGCTTACGCCAGTAATCCTGCCTTAAGTCCTAACCGTGCATCCTACCCAATAGATGCAAGAAGATTTGATAGATCTTTCCTCCCGTGACTAATCCGGTGCATTACGCTGGGAAGAGATTGCTCGCTTTCCACCCCGCTGAGCAGGAGCCGGGCGCTGGCTCTCCACGAGCGTGGTACCAGGACAGGCAACGAGGCAGCTACGGCAGGTCTGCTGGGATGAGCGCTGCCGTGCCACTCCTGGTTTCATCACACTTCAGCATTTTAAGCCTGTATCTTTGCCAGTTTAGAAACTGCAGTACAAGCAGTAGCTTTCCCAGGTTGCTAATTAGGCAGTTAATTTGTAAATCTTATTATATGGATAATAAAGTTATCAAATCCCACTGGTGAGCTACAAACATCCTGAGTCATTTATATACAACAAAAATGAAAAATTAACCTTTACCATTTGTTACTGCATAATGCAAGAATGTTTACTGGCCCTAAATTCTTCTTTAGAGCTATCTCCATTGCAGGCATCTGGGGAGACATCTCTGTCTCGGGGGAAGCAAAGGATACAAAACCCAACAAAAGACAAGAGTTAGAGCCCTGGAGCTCAGTGGCTCTCCACAGGCTTACGAGACTTGCTGGAACGCACATTTTTAATAGCAGCCCCAGCACAGTTTCTCAGATCTGGGGAGACTTGCACCAAAGCATCAGGGCGAGAAGACGCACCTCCATTCCCTGTGATCCTGATCGCAGTTTCAGGAAGAAAGGTCTCCAAGAAGGCTGGTTTTCAGGCTAAGAGACCACAATAGCAACAGGGTATTTTCAAACCCTAGGAACTAGCCTTATTTTGAAGGATGAAAAGAGAAACCGCCAATGGTCTTGCTTAAAAAAAAATATCTGTAATATACTTAAAGGCTTCTTGGCCTAAACCACTGCTCAAAAATCCTTGAGAAAAACCATAAAGCAGTTTCCCAAACTGATCACAGAACCTGCCAACCAGAAAAACCTCATCAAAATGCATTCCGAGAGTATGAACATTGCAGAGCACGTGTCCGGCTGCACCTCCAGCATGGGAAGGGACCTGCTGGGGAAGCGAGGGCTGCTAGTGCAGCTCAGCAGTAGGCAGAACATCCATCAGCTCCAGGCTGCTGACAGACAGCCAAACCAGGCTGCTGAATGCAGGGAGACAGGCCAGCACATTTAAAGCTTTATTCAACAGCATGCGGTTGGGAGCAGTCGTACGTTTGCATGTTTTGGAACAATGCTGCAAATTATTGCAGCAGACAGAAGCCCCGGTAAGTCCTCGGCAATGGCAGGAGGGACAAATCCAGCACTTGACTGCACTGCATGGATATATCGCTGCAAGAAGCTGGGTAGCAGTCCCCTAATTGCTGAGGACTTTTGTCATCACAGACCCACGGCTGGTGACCAAGATGAGCTGCAAGCTGAACGCTGATCGTGGAGATGACTTCCCTCCAGCACTGCCTGCCTCGCGGTTGCTGTGTGCGCCCCTGCTGTAGGGCAAGGTCTCACCCCCGCGCCTGCATCCCAGCAGTTGTCCTGTGAGTCAACAGGACAGAGCAAATAAAACCTTCAGTGAAAGTAAAAAATAAGAGAGGACAGACCTTGACATTAACCAAAGTGTGATTAGAGAAGAGCAGGTGCTTCCAGCATCGTGAAGCAGCTCTGGGAGCAGCCAGGCAGGTTTTAAGGTACATCACCTCGACGTGTGGGAGAGCTGACGGGAACAGCCAGCTCCCAACACTGTGCTCTCAGAGAGCTGCGAGGGCTCTGGCATGCCACGTTATCGGCCGAGGACTGCTTAACGCACAGGGACCCGTCACAAGCATCTGAGTTAGTAAGGCACCGGGCAGAGCCACTGATAAAGAATTTCCTTGCAGCCACCACAGCTCGTCACTATGGTGTAGCCAGTCCTGCAGGAACGGAGAGTCCCCTCGTCCCTCCAACGCTCCCAGTAAAAGCAGCAAAAAAACCTCTTTGTCGGAGGGGACAGGGAGAGACATTGCAGCATGATAGGGCCAGCGTTTACGCCCCTCAAGGCTTGCCAGGACAGGCTGGGCAGCTGACAGCCCTGGGCAGGGGGATGCACCCGTCCACCCCGTGCTCTTGGGGGCTGCGGAAGGACCGTGGTCCCCCCTGTTCCTGCCTACCCTGCACAGGGAGCAGCCCCAGCTCATGATGCTGAAGCCCACCCGTGCGAGGGGCTCCCATGGCCGATGGCCCGGTGCTCTGCTCTTCTCCCACGCAGCAGCCCGGGAAGGAGCAGGAGCAGCCCTGGCCGTGCTGACTTCCCCCGTTGATGAGCGACGCAGGTATCGCTGCCTTTGTCTGACCAGGTTTATCTATTGCGAAGACAGAGCTTGTTTGCTCTGCATCACCTGCACGCACACCTTCCCTCTCCTTCAGAGTGTTTTCTTTTCCTCTGTTTACAAAATGTAAACAAATGCAAAAGAGTTTCCCCACCATACGCAGCACAGCTCACCTCACATGCTCCGTCTCCATTCAGATGCTTTCCCAAAAAGCAGACAGTTGGGCAGTTTGCCCAAAGATACAACAATGCTGAAAGATTTGCTCTTAGAATACAAAATCCTTCCCAGTCCAGTGGTTTCTGCCCAGGAAAAGCCCTTTATCAAAGCTTCAAGCTCCTTATACTGGCATCGGGCTACCTGGGAGCCAGTGCAATGTGAGCCCGGGTGTTCCCAGGAATATGAAAGCCCAGAACAGTCTCAGGGTTAGCGTTTGTATTTGCAAACAACTCCAAATGCCTGACATTGCTGAGTCCGTCCTGGACAGCAGCACAGCAGCAGCAGACCCAAGCGCTAGAGCTGTGTCTCTGCCCGTGCTGTTACTGCCAGGACACACGTTTGTCTGACGCAGCGGCCAGTCCTGCTCAGAGTGGGTCTTTTGGGGTATTTTGGGGCCCCATTTCTCCAGCATACTTTGACCTTGCTCTGGATCAGATTTTTGGGATGCTAGAAGCACACTCTAGAGGGAAAACTGCCTTGCCCCATACCCTGGCCACTTGGCATGGATCCACTCCGTGCAAGGAGCTGGATGACTGCAAAGGGTCACAGATGCTGGAGGGAAAG